GAAGCTTGACTGTGGTGAAAGCTGTATGTGTGAAGAGGTTTCGCAATAACTTAAATACCCAATATAGGTTTCCTTTTTTAGTAGTATTATATTAGTAGTATTGTATTTCCAATTTATGTTACTTTAAACTTCTACTCCACAACTTTTCAGAGGGAAAATATTGTATTCTATTTTATATTGCACTACATTATTTGACTGAGTATGAAGGTGTGTCAAGGTGTGTGGGACAGGGTGCCATCTTGTTAGGCATGCACTCTGTCTCTATTACATAGTGTATGCACTTATTGCAAAAATGAGATATTTAACATTGTCCAGGTATGTGAGTGGAGGTAGTGCATTGGGGTCTGTAGTCCAGCCAAGTCATATTGATCTATATTGTTCATTGGGATTAGTTTGTCCAAATACTGTTGCTTGAGCAGTGTAGCAGACACAGGTAACACAGTGTGATCCTCACAAGATGGCGCCCTCATCCAAAAGATATGGCGTGATGTCAACTTCACATTCTCTGCAGCTGGCCCACTAGTTTCTTAGTACATACATATAACACATAAAATGCTTACAACATATCATTAATTACTGTACTATTAATCTACTCAGTAGTAAAGTACCCAGTAGTGCTCCCACACTGATGAACTACAACATTAAAATGCTGACATGTATTTGTTGGTGATAAAACAGAAAATTATAATATTCTATAATAGTATGACATTTTAAAGGAGTCATTCTGCATCATGACAGCTTTTACTTTTCATACTTTAAATAGGCCTACATTTTGGCATTCTTCTGTACTTTTACTTAACACTAACTACCAGAAAGTAATACTGTGTAATGGAGCACAAACGACAGAATTGAAGCAAGTAAAATAAAGCATGCATGGCAATATGTTGTAATGACGATATTGTTTTGTTTACAAGGAATGAAATAAAATATATTAAATAAAATCATTTTGAGTTTATCATTTTGTTTATTGTTTTTTAGTAGTAGAGTGCCCTAGGAATGAGTCTTAAAACCTGGAAAACGGTTAGCATTTTAGCACTCCTAGTTCCTTCATCTTGGAGTCAGCTGTTTTTTTTGTGTGAGTTTTTGTTTAGATGCCTGAAATAAGCTCTGTGGTTGCAACAAGCTGAAGAGACTTTCACGTTTTGTTCTATGACATAAAATATGTTGATAAACACCCCACTGGTGAATTTTTAAACTTTTATGTGTCTTAAAAAGGCAGTTGCTGTTCAGTGGCTAAATGAGACTACAGAACATCATCACGCTGAACACAGCTTTACATGTGACCATAGTGTAGTTCCTTTATAGCCTAATATTAGCCTTTATCTTGCTGAAGAAAACATGTAAGTATCATAAACGTTTGGTCGCCGCAGAACTTATTTTTTGCAATAATCCAAAATCCAGTGGAAAAATCCCATAGGAATACTGACGAGAGAACCAGGGTAACACTAACTTCAGCATCAGCCTCAAGGAATCTATAAAAAGGTTCCTTCAAAGGTTCCTTGGTTGGCCCACAGAAAAACTTCATCCCTGGAGCGCTCTATCTCCAGTAATTGTCTGAATCAGCAGTGTTTTCTCCTTGTGTGAGGGAGCTACACGACATCAGGCTGTAAATTCTGTCCCAGAGGACAGCAAACATTAAAATATTTTGACCTTAAACAGCAATGCAGTCTACCGATGCTGGTGTTCTTTGCTGGTCTCATCTAAATTTACTGTCCTGCTGTCGTCCACTAAAATGATATCCGGTTTGTTGTCTACTCTCTCCCTGATTCCATGTGAACGCAGCATTGCACTGGAGTTCTGTCGCTGTCAGCTAACCTACAGTTGAAGAGATAACCATTCAAGGAGAAATATAAAAGAAGGAAGGGTCATGACGACAGTGACAGCATTCAAGGAGCCAGGCTTTGGTGTCAGTGTTATTGGGGTCAATGGGGCAGGCATGGCATATTACACTATAACCCGTCATATCTTTGTTGTTTCAACTTTGACAGAAAAATCCTTCTGTCAGATTAAAAAACACATTACGTGATGCTTACTAATGTTTTTTCTATCTAAATATGCATGATTGGTCTCCAACCACTGGTAGGAGGCCCCGGGGCAGACCCAGAACATGCTGGAGGGATTACATATGTCACCTGGCCTGGGAAAGCCTTGGGGTCCCCCAGGAGGAGCTGGAAAGCGTTGCTGAGGAGAGGGACGTTTGGGGTGCTTTGCTCTGTTCAAGGCTGAGATGTAGCTGCTATAAACCATGATCTGTTTGGAGACCTATAGCAAGGAAAACAAATGTACATATTTATATTACAAAATGTCCCTCAAGGACCCTTAGGGGTCCTTGGACCCCTGGTTAAGAACCACTTACGTAAAGGATCGGAGTTCTTCTTCCCCCACTCTTTGAAACATTAAATTGTGCAGTAGTAATTATAAATGTACCTAAGTTTTTTTTGTCTTTCAAGTTTTACTAGCCAGAAGCACATTTAAGACAAGACAAGAAAAGGTAAGGTGAGGTGAGGTGAGGTCAGGTCAGGTCAGGTCAGGTCAGGTAAGGCAAGGAAATGCAATGCCAGTTTATTTATATGGCAGATGATGACACCAAAGCATTTCAAAGTGCTCTTCATAAAGCATCAAAAGCATCGAGACAAGGTGCAAAAGTAACACATTATAAAAAGAAAATTTTAAAGCAATTCATTAAAGAAGAACTAGAGAAAAGAGAGATATAAAATACAAGAATAAAGTACAGTTAAAATGAATAAAAAAAAATATCTGAATGATAAATATTACATCGCAGTTTAAGAAATGAATAACTATTCAATTAAATTAAAGGCAGCAGCAAACAGAAAAGTCTTCATCCTTGATGTAAAAGAACTGAGAGTTGGGGACAGACCTGCAGGTTTCTGTGAGTTTGTTCCAGATATGCGGTGCATAAAACTAAACAATGCTTCTCAATGTTTAGACTTGTCTCTGGGGGCACAAAGCAGACCTGTCCCAGATGATCTGAGAGGTCTGGATGTTTTATAATGTAGCAGAAGGTCAGAAATGTGTTTGGGCTCTAAATCATTTAGTGCTTTGTAAACCAACAGCAGTACTGTTGATTCTCTGACAGACAGGAAGCCAGTTTGAAGACCTCAGAACTGGAGTGATGTGATCCACGTCCTTGGTCTTAGAAAGGACTCAAGCAGCAGCATTCAGAATCAGCTGCAGCTGTCTGATTGATTTTTTAGGGAGACTTTTAAAGAAGTTGTTACAGTACTTAAGTCTACTGAAGATAAATGCATGGACAAGTTTTTCCAAATCCTGCTGAGACATACCGTAAAAGTTTCAATTAATATCCCAGGCTATAATTTGCTTATATCACTGAAATCAATGGGACTATATTTGGGACAGGCCTTTAACTCCTTTCACACAAAACTGTTGCTCAGCAAAGATTAGGATATACAATCAAATTGTTTATTTAAACCTGTATGAATATTACTTGTATTAAAAATTATGAATCATTCATTTGATCTAGCTCTGACAGACAGCACATCAGAGAGAGTTATGGCACTCAAAGATTACAACACAACACTTTATCCTGTTAAAACAATACTCACGACTTGGATTAATTTTTATTTAAAAAAAACCTTTTGATTCTTTTGATCTGAGGACGCTTATGGACTGAAGGAATATGAATAACTTACAGTGTAATCAAGGAATGGACACATAAACTGAGGTAGCCAACAACGCGGTTTTATCACCGCCTGAAGAACTTCTATAAAAATAAACTGCTTGGCAACTACACCAGGCGTCTAATTGAGACAGGCCTTTTGTTAAAATGTGCAGCCATACCGGGCTAGTAAAGGGACTGGGCGTTTAATTGGGACTACGCTTTTAATATAAGTTTTACTTAATCCTTTAATCCTTGATATTTTCCTAAGGTGATAGTAGGCTGACCTTGACATTGTTTTAATGTGGTAGTTGAAGTTCAGGTCTGTGTCCATGACTAGAGGAGCACGGTGCACAAAATAACGTGGGCTGAATTGTAATATGGACATTTTATGTGGTAACACAGAGACGATCCTTCCGTGCTTCCGGCCAGTTGATCATGATACCACCAAACAGTGACCCGCAAAATTCCACAGAGATTGGACGTGTTTCAGCTGAGATCACTAACAAAAAGTGTTTTCTACTGACATAAGTAAATTTCTTTGTCATACTTGTTTTTCGATTACTGAGCTGTCTATTTAAGTCACAAATCCAACCATTTAGGGTATCATCTTAACAACTGTCTTGTTGCCAAAAACATAGCACCATTTGAACTAAGTAACTAACTCCCAGCAGGTGGTAGCTAGGCTTGATAAAATTTCCACCTAACTAAGCTTTCTACATCGCAGTTTCTCTATTTTTGCACGACAAACTTATATTCAGTTTGAACTAATGTCCTTGATTAAATGAGATATACTTAGTGTTTTTAATTTGTGAGGTATGTTATTGACACACAGTTTCACAGTCTTTTCAATATTTATACATTCAAAATTCACATTTTGACATGTGGCTCTAGGTAACCCAATCTATGTACATCTATCGGTCCAACCATTGAATATCTATGATAGACTAAGAGATGGATACCTGTATGGATATCTATCTTTCCCCTGTTGTAGATAGAGACCTATAGATTGAATTGTATTGAATTAATTGTGTTAAACAGACTTTTCCAGCAAGTGTTACAGCAAGCGTCGTGTTACAGCTAACCCTCTGCATGTAGAATTGCAGAAGACAGGTAAGTTCAAGAAAAAAAAAAACTGTTTATTTGTAGCAGAGATGTGCATGTAATTAGAATAAAACAAAATAAGGTAATAGGTTGTGTCCCACTCTTTTCTTTTGAGCACTGACTTTTGACTGATGTAAGCTAGCTGCTGGCCGCAGAGAGGAACAGAAGCTGCCTGTGAGGTACTTCCGGAAACTATCTTGACGATAATTTAATCTTTGGTGTCGCCCGTCCAGTCACCTCTCCAGTTGTGTGTGTTGTGTAAGCAACGAGGAAATGTGTAATAACCCGCCTAGCAGGAAGTAAGATGATTTTGGTGACCTTTGGACTTTTAATGGACTACAGTAACGTTATACAACACAATAATTTAGCCTAGCTAGCTACCAAATTACTCCACTAACCGTCAGCCCTCTGTTGAGTTTGTCCTCGCGACCAATCGGTTGGTAACGACGCTGCAACGTCATAGAGTTTGCCTGTGTTAGCATGGGGAGTGTCTGTAACTGAACACGCTGATAAGACAGCCCTGCCCGATCATGTAACTTATATCACAATATCACAGCACTGCCTGAGGTCTCCACTGGACGTGTTTAGCGTCAGTAAGTCGAACACTGCAACATACATACTGGACATACGGTGTGGAGGAGCTGACAGCCGAGTGAGGTGAGTTATGTTACAGTCTACCATCTGCTAACGTGTTCTACAATATCATGTTAATGACTGCAACTTTGCACTAACGTCACTGCATGTTTCACCTAAATATACTATACATTATTTAAAGCTAATAAATGTAGTTTTATGGGCGCATTCTCATAACTTCCTGAGCCCACACAGCCATTGCTCATTGTTGTGAAATACAATACAGGAGTCCCTAACTGCCCTCAGTGATTTTCTCACATATAGCCCGACCGATATACTCTGTCAACCAGGGCCGATACCAATATTAACACTTTCCCCGCCAGAGTATTATGCTGCGTTCCAGGCAACCTGTAACTCGTGTTTTTACAACCTTCTGCCAGTGAAAGTGCATTGGAACAGCAGTCAAACCCGTAATTTACCACCTGACATAACACAACCCTCTAAACCAATTACCTTACTCCTTTCTATTGGCAGCCGCTTTAACAGCTGGTTTTCAGTGCAAGAATAAATCAATACAAAATAGCCTATGTTTCCAAACACACAGATAACGTAAAATAAAAAGTATAATAGCATCTGTGACCTTATGCGCCATTTCTCCTCCTCTGTTTCGCTCAAATGAGGAAGGAACCGGCCCCTTTGGTGACAGAGGTGATCATAAACAAACATAAACCTCGCACGGTCCGCCATGTTGCTTTGAGAGTTTGGTGTGACTTGCCAGGAACACTATGAAGTCGTGAGTTGTGACTTGAAGTGGTGACTTACGGGCTCAGAAACTTGCCTGGAACGCAGCATTACTTTCAAGTTGCCAGCCACTGGCAGTATTTTTGATCATATTCACTAATCTTTCAAGACCCACTGAATAATTTGCTCTATGAATATGTTAACAGTATATACATCAAAATAAAGAACAGACAGTCTGTTTTTATACACACACACACGCACAGAAAACAACATGTTAATGTCTCATTCGGTTCCTTTTTAATCAACACTTGAATTTGTGCATTTTCATAAAAAAAAAAGAAGGAAATAGCTGAGAAAATTTTCAACCAAAAAATCAATTTCGCATTTACATTTTTTTCCCTCATTTTCTAACGTCAATTTTAATTGAATAAATTAAAACAAAAAGAAAATAATATTCTGTATGAGGTATAACTGAACACGTTGTAAAGTTCAGTGTCAATATTGTTGTCTCCCTCTCCTCTGTGGTCGTCTTGTTAGTGTGTCACTATCGCTATGGGACGAACACGGGATCACCATGACCATGACGGTCATGGTGATCCCGTGTTCGTCCCACCAAACTCGTTTGCTCTTCGTCCATATCACATTCAGAATGTTGATCAAAACAGGAATAGTCGGTGTCAGAGTCCATCAACATGTCCACGGCTTGCGCAACTGTAAACTTTTCCTTCAGTGCTTGCATTTTTGTGTGGGTTCCAAGCGGCTACATCTCCTCTGTAAACATCATCTTCCTCCGGTATCCAGCAGATCTTCGTCTTTGTTTGTTCTGGACACGGCAGTGCTGTTCTACTTTACAAGATGTGTAACAGTGCCCTTATTTTATAACAGTGAAAACACGGGTTGCCAGAATATCTCGTCACTGGCCGGAACGCATTCTGTCATAAATGACGGAAAATCTTAGCAATGGCAGGGATAGTGTGAATGTTTTAGTGTTTAAAGCTCCTATAATCAGTATCTCTCATAAGGATCAAATAAGTAGGGGAGACCAGGGATGGTTGTTACAGCACCACTTTAATTAAGAAGTAATGACCTGTGAGTCATAATACGTTTTTATTGGATGACCTTGCATGTGGAATTTCATAGTTGTGTGAAGAGATGTGCAGATGTTAAAGCCAAAAAATACAGTGACATCATAGGAGAAGGTGAAATGCATAACATCTTGTAAAACAGAAAATGAAAAGAAGCAAGTATCACGAATAATGGGTCCTTTATGTCCATGATCGTCCTGTAAGATCACCAAGGTCCCTATGATCCTTACCTTTGATTCCTGGAAAGCTAGGGTATTTTAAGGAAGGAGAAATCTTCCACTCGTTTGTAAGCCATAGTCATTCTGTATGTCTTAATAACGGGGATAAACCGAAATTCACCAAACAAAATAAACATATAAATAAAAGATCTGTTCAAAGTCAAAGAGGACATTTTTTTCCCCAATATTTGTCACATTTTTCAGTGACAGGTCGCAGAGAAAAAGTCAGTTATTCCATAACAAAATTTCTTTAACTATTTCTATTCATCAAGAGATTGCTGGAGACTTTTTACACAGGCATTTCCTGGTTATTGCTTTTTTTACAACCTGCTAGGGCTGGGCGGTATGACCTAAAATTTATATCACGGTATAAATCGAATCCCTTCACGGTAACGGTATATATAGCGGTATAAATTTAGGTGTAAAAGTTATAATAGAAGTGTTTCTGAATGGGTTCTGTAGTCCCTTAGCAAAGCTAAATTGATTAAAAAAACAACAACAAAAGCAAAGATATAATGTATTTTTAGAGCATTTATTGTGCAGAATGCAGATCTCAAAATTAAAACCCAGTACTCTATGGTGCAAAATGTCCCCTGAGATCTATATCAAAAGGTAATTTCCTTCTTTTAGCAAAATCGTAAATGACTGAGTTATGTTTTTTCCACCTGGACCTTTATGCTCTGCCATTTCTCCTCTAATCATCAGGCTGTAACCTGTGACAGGCTGCTATGATACCACAGCTATCACACATTCACATATGGAGTTTTTTGTGGAGCCCCTAGCGTCACATAGGTTTACATTACCAAAGGTTTATGACAAACTCTCTTGCCGAAAACCAACTCCCGTGTGCGCACAGCGAGAGAGAAGAGGGAGAGACGCTGTGCTGCTGCCAGAGGAGACACTGAATGAGTTCCCTCTGAGCGGTAAGTCGCTAAAAGAGTCTGAGAAGTCCGGGGCTGTTCATAAAACATTAACTCACTCACTCACAAGTTCTCCAGCATCACATGTTGCACGTGCTACGCTAAATCACGGACGTGAACCAGCTCCTCTTGCTCCGTTGTCTCTGTGCTCGCAGCCATTTTCACACTGAGGCAGGTGCGATGACGTCATCGACGATAGGACGGTAGAGCGCAAATCTCTGCTGTGGGCCAAATTTATATCATTTCTACCGTCTACCACATATACCGTGCAGCCCTACAACCTGCCAGTAGTATTTGTGATAAATATCTGTTTTGCTTTAGTAGCCCAGTTGGCACATTTCCCAAATACATAACACTGAAGTTGAAATCCAGCTCTGAGCTGATTGTTGATCTAATCTCTGTAACCACATCTACTACTACTTAGTAAGAAGACGTTTTTAGGACACTCCCAAAAGATATGAAAATGACCAGCAGACACAGTACCACACATTCTCCAACACTGACCATGTTTTGGTTTGTTGCTTTGTGATTTTTTGTTCTGGGAGTTATAAAAAAAAACCTTTTCCAGATGAATTCCCTCCACAGAGTTGAGTTTGAACGATGCTGCACTTTAGCCAATCACGGAGGGGGCGGGGCCGAGACGTGCAGGTGTCCCCAGGAAATGTGTACCTACAGAAATAGCAAGCTCCGCGTCTGACCGCTCCACCCAAAACGCCATCTGATCAACGTGAATTTTTTTTAAAAATTTTTTTAAATACCACATAGCAACACAAAACTGCTGTGCTAGCTCAATCATGTTGTAACTAAGATATCCGCTGGAAAAAATATTTTTTTCACGGATCGTTTATTGAGTTACTGAGTTACTACAGACACCGCTAACGGGGCTAACAGCTAACGGTTAGCCCAGCTAATCTACGATAACCATGTTATTAATTATAAAACGTCCACACAGAAATAGTAACGTTTGTTCAGTCACTGTGTTTATAGACTTTACAAACATCAGATTAGTCTAAACGGTGATACAGTGACGTGAAAAATGTGATGTATACATATATATATATATATATGTGTGTGTGTGTGTGTGTATATATATATATATATGTACACAGTACAGGCCAAAAGTTTGGACACACCTTCTCATTCAATGCGTTTTCTTTATTTTCATGACTATTTACATTGTAGATTCTCACTGAAGGCATCAAAACTATGAATAAACACATGTGGAGTTATGTACTTAACAAAAAAAGGTGAAATAACTGAAAACATGTTTTATATTCTAGTTTCTTCAAAATAGCCACCCTTTGCTCTGATTACTGCTTTGCACACTCTTGGCATTCTCTCTATGAGCTTCAAGAGGTAGTCACCTGAAATGGTTTTCCAACAGTCTTGAAGGAGTTCCCAGAGGTGTTTAGCACTTGTTGGCCCCTTTGCCTTCACTCTGCGGTCCAGCTCACCCCAAACCATCTCGATTGGGTTCAGGTCCGGTGACTGTGGAGGCCAGGTCATCTGCCGCAGCACTCCATCACTCTCCTTCTTGGTCAAATAGCCCTTACACAGCCTGGAGGTGTGTTTGGGGTCATTGTCCTGTTGAAAAATAAATGATCGTCCAACTAAACGCAAACCGGATGGGATGGCATGTCGCTGCAGGATGCTGTGGTAGCCATGCTGGTTCAGTGTGCCTTCAATTTTGAATAAATCCCCAACAGTGTCACCAGCAAACACCCCCACACCATCACACCTCCTCCTCCATGCTTCACAGTGGGAACCAGGCATGTGGAATCCATCCGTTCACCTTTTCTGCGTCTCACAAAGACACGGCGGTTGGAACCAAAGATCTCAAATTTGGACTCATCAGACCAAAGCACATATTTCCACTGGTCTAATGTCCATTCCTTGTGTTTCTTGGCCCAAATAAATCTCTTCTGCTTGTTGCCTCTCCTTAGCAGTGGTTTCCTAGCAGCTATTTGACCATGAAGGCCTGATTGGCGCAGTCTCCTCTTAACAGTTGTTCTAGAGATGGGTCTGCTGCTAGAACTCTGTGTGGCATTCATCTGGTCTCTGATCTGAGCTGCTGTTAACTTGCGATTTCTGAGGCTGGTGACTCGGATGAACTTATCCTCAGAAGCAGAGGTGACTCTTGGTCTTCCTTTCCTGGGTCGGTCCTCATGTGTGCCAGTTTCGTTGTAGCGCTTGATGGTTTTTGCGACTCCACTTGGGGACACATTTAAAGTTTTTGCAATTTTCCGGACTGACTGACCTTCATTTCTTAAAGTAATGATGGCCACTTGTTTTTCTTTAGTTAGCTGATTGGTTCTTGCCATAATATGAATTTTAACAGTTGTCCAATAGGGCTGTCGGCCGTGTATTAACCTGACTTCTGCACAACACAACTGATGGTCCCAACCCCATTGATAAAGCAAGAAATTCCACTAATTAACCCTGATAAGGCACACCTGTGAAGTGGAAACCATTTCAGGTGACTACCTCTTGAAGCTCATGGAGAGAATGCCAAGAGTGTGTAAAGCAGTAATCAGAGCAAAGGGTGGCTATTTTGAAGAAACTAGAATATAAAACATGTTTTCAGTTATTTCACCTTTTTTTGTTAAGTACATAACTCCACATGTGTTCATTCATAGTTTTGATGCCTTCAGTGAGAATCTACAATGTAAATAGTCATGAAAATAAAGAAAACACATTGAATGAGAAGGTGTGTCCAAACTTTTGGCCTGTACTGTATATATGTCTATATAGATATATAGATGTGTATATATATAGCTAAACTCTGCTGTTGCTGGTTTTCTACCTGGAAGTATTTGTAAACAACGGAAGTGAAGGGGTTGAGCAATCCCCGAGGCCCCTGCACTTCCGTTAGTCGAAAAACTACGGGCAGTGCCTCCAGAAGCAAAGGAAGAAAAAAAAAATTATAATTTTTTTTTTTTTTTTTTTTTTTTTTTTTTTTTTAACCGATGGATTTCCAGATTGGTGATATACTGGTTTTAAGGTATAGTGTAATGTAAAAGTTGACGGTTGTCATACTGTGTACATTTGCTGATCTAGGATACTGGGAAAAAAATGCAACTGGATGAAGAATCTCCCCTTTATTTATTTTCAATGGGGAGGCATTTTACACATACTTTGATTAACTTTCAAGTTTCAGTTATAGTAATACAATGTTTGTTTAACAAAAAATAACCCTTCCATTTTCATTCCTTTAGGGACTGACAATAATATAAAGTCTCTAATACCGTGATTCCGTGGAACTAGAGTATTTTCTGAGACGGTTATCGTACCTTGAAAATCTCATACCGTTGCAGCCCTTGTTGTAACAATGGAACTCCTTGTATTGGACATTGGTTAATGAGTTCTGTAATATAGTTAGAGAAGTTGGAAACATTGCTATTTGTAGAAGACAAATAAGGGAGCTATGTGTCAAAATTTGAGAGCTTTAATGCAAAAATGATTCCCTGGTCTCCCCTTCTTGTTTGTGAATGGGTCTTGCTGGTAGTGATTTAGAATTACAGCCCAGTGGCCAGAAGAAAATGTTGGCATTGTGTGTTTCTGCAAACCACAAATGCGTTAAATTTGCAAGTTTTATACCTATCATATCAACGTTTCTAAAGTGACGTAATATATGAATTGACTCATTTGGAGGTGTAGGGGACGGTGGATGGTGTGTCGCCTCAGCAAAACACCTGTCAAGCTGCACACCACAGTTGAAGACCAGCAAACAACAAAACTAGTTGTGTTTTAGTGAGTGATTACTGTGTTTCCAGCAGGTTTTTAGTCTCCAAACGTGGGTGTTTTGTAGCAACCTCTTGGCCGGAATAGTGCCATGAAAAGCAATTGGTTTGTACTGCTTCTTCTACTGGGATTGTGTGACCAGAATGGGATATTTTAAGCCAAAACATGATCTTTTCCGAAGTATAACCAAGTGGTTTTTGTGCCTAAACCTAACAACATGTTAACCACAGTGTTGCTGAAATGTGAAGTTTCAACATATCCGCTACATAATTAAGTGAAAACAAGGAACATATCCGTGGTTTGCAGAAACGAAAAATGCCAACATTTTTCAGTATTGGCTTGAGAATTAGTACATGGCTCTATGACTTTAAAGCATCTTACAGCTCATTGCTTTGGTTTTCTGGCCCACATCTTCAGTTCACTCTCACCATTCTTATCATCATTGTTTTGGGACGCAGCAGGCAGCTGTTGACAGCATGTAGGCATTAGGCATTAAGCCCATTTATTACAGGCTTTTTAACTTATGCAAAGCAGTGTGCCTTGGCTTTTTTTTGGTTATAACTAATTGACGAAGCAAATTACAAGTCTAATCTCTCCCTCTGTTTTTTTGGTCACAAATGTCCATGGATCCAAAGTGCACCTGTTTGTGATACCTTCATATGTAAAGTGATAGAAAGTGCTGCCAGACGCACCAGTGCTGCAAACGTCAGGCCTCTTTTGCTTACCGAACACCAGCATGCTATCTGAAATCACACATTAGTTCGGCATCATACTGGTGTTGTTTGGTTCTGTGAAATAATCATTACGCAAAGCCGGCGTAATGAAGGGTCTCTGTCAGGTCAGTATTGCAGGATCTCTGTGTCAAAACAGCTAACGATAATGCGTCCTACTCTTATTGCAGAACATGTGGTTGCCCATGATTGGAATGACCGCCCTGCCGCACCTGGGCGGGTTCTATGGCGGCTACGTGACACGCAAAGAAGTGAAGACCTGGTACCCAACTCTTCAGAAACCATCGTGGCGTCCACCAAATGCAGCATTCCCTGTAGTGTGGACATGTCTGTACACAGGCATGGGGTGAGCATTACAGTGACGGGATCCTACAGTCTTTTATTAGCAGTGATTCAACGTCCTCTTGTAAGTTAGACTTTTTTAATTTTGTTACGCAGATATGGGTCCTATCTGGTGTGGAAAGAGCTGGGAGGTTTCACTGAGGATGCACTGGTTCCACTGGGACTGTATGGGCTGCAGCTCGCTCTGAACTGGGCCTGGACTCCTATTTTCTTTGGTGCACACAAGCTGAAATTGGTACGTTTCACAAATCATTTCTTTTAACTGGGAGACCAAATTACAGGGGATGATACAGGTCAGTATCCTACACCTGTATGTCTGTTTAACACCCTCTATCTTTCCCCCAATGTAGGCGCTCATCGAGATCATATTTCTCACTGGAACTGTCGGAGCCACCATGGTGTCTTGGTATCCCATCAACCGCACTGCAACACTGTTGATGGCGCCCTACCTAGCCTGGCTGTGTCTCGCCACCTCCCTCAACTACTGCATATGGAGAGACAACAAGGAAGAGAAGAAAGAGTAGGAGGCAGCTCTTCTCTGTGTGCTTTGTTTCAAAATCAGTTATCTTTCAATAAAATTGCAGCACAGCTTCACTGCTTAGCTTTTGATTTTAGACGGAAACAATACAATTCTGTTTAAGCTGAACTGAATAAGAATCACTTTGTCATGACTTTATATAATAAGTTGTTGGTGTGTTTTTTTTTATTATGTAAAATTGCAATTGTTTGCTTTTTTTTTAATAAACTCTCAATTCTGATGTGTGCATTTATACTGATTCTTGTGACCATAACTCAATTAAAGTAACGATTTATATCTAATTCATAACTCTTGAATGCATTCCCTCAGTCACAGCAGGCCACTGAAAAATTTGGGGTAATAAAATTGTACAGAAATTTAAGAAAGAAAGAACACTAATATTGATGATATTGGTGTTCTTTCTTTGGCTAACTAATCAGCACCATTCTGCACTGCACTCATACAGGGTAATCGGCTGATGGCCCACCCTCTAGTCCATCTGTCCACCCCCAAAGTTAGCACTGTTAGCTCCATTAGTGCTACTAGAACTGCTAGCTGCAGCCATTTTGGCTCAGCCACCTAAACGTTTGTTTGTGACATCAGAGGTGAGAGCCATGCGTAGGCAATCCTGGCCCTGACTCTGGATGTCACATGTTGTACCTTCAGGCCAGTGTTCACCACAGCATGTTTTTTTGTCCAGTTGAAAACACCAAGTGCTCTAGAGGAATGCCCAGCTAGAAGCCCCCAAGGAAAATAAACAACTAGAAAAATGTTATATTTTGCTTGGGGGTGTTTGAGACTACTTTGGAGGCACAGCATTTTTTCAGCTGAGACACTTTGGTTGTGATTGGTGGCTATGGTTGATACAAGGTAGGGAAGTTGCCCTGGATGACGGAAAGGCTGCAGAGAGATAGGACTGACTCACCTGTGTGTGTGAGTTCAGCAAACGGAGCAAACATATGTTAATATTTATGCAGTATATAACCATCGTTGTTCAACACTTGTACAATATGACAATTTGTCGTCTTGGTATTTGTCCTTCCTCCACTGAGATTGGACTGCTGGGTAAAAAGTGACAGTTACAAGTGCAGCATTTTACCCAAAGGTGAACATTTTTCAACTCTCGGCAGTCAGAAAAAAAATGCCCAGGAGGCAGCACACAGTGCAGAATTCACGCTCAGGGCCTCGTCAGGCTGCTGGCATTGGTAAGGTACCGTAAATACACAGCGCTCACCTTGCAAAGAATTTTAAAAAATACCCTGGCCTCAGGAAAAAAATGCTTTGGTGTATACAGCCCCTTAGAGTATTTTTAATCCAATTTGTTTGCTGTAGGAATTCCTTTCCACTAGCACGATGAAAATCTGCAGAGTTCAGCTCGTTTGTAAAGTCCATTAAAATAGATCACAAATAATAACAAAAACCTCCATAAAGATAACAACAATAAGCTTTATTTCTATACATGCAGTGAGAAAAGAAAAGAGTGAGAGGGAAAAAAACTATTTCTCAGGAGCTTTCTCGGGAACGTCTTCCGGTGACTTGCCGAATCTCTCCATTAACGTCTTCCACAAACCCTTTTTCTCCTCGTCCATCTGTTGCACATTCCCTGTACAAGACAAATAAAGTTAACTGTAATAAAAGTGTGTTGCATAAATAGTCACGAGCATAGATGTGATGTTGTGGGTACAAACCTGATAAAAGTAATTTACACTCTTCCACCGTAACTCCAGTAAAGCTTGTGTCTCTTACACGAGGAAACTGTGGGTGGAAACAAAGACATGTTTGCATTAAATACATTTAATGTTAACGTTTGATACATAAATGTATCACAGAGGAAGTGAAATTATTTCTGGGGGAGGTTTTGTTTACATTTTGTATATATCTTCCATGTTTAAAAACGCAATGGAAAAATGTGAACCTGACACATTTCGATTTATGTGACAGTCCTCATCTGTGTTAATGGTAACCAAAGCACACAAGTTTAGAGAGACCTTTGTACTAACTGTAAAGTGTTTTATTATCCTCCTCATCAAATGAAAAAGTAAGTGCCACAAGGTTTTCTCTACAGTCTCAAACATGATGGAGAATTATTCGTTAGCTGATACACTTCATGTTACAGACTGTGGAGGGGAAGGGGAAGGATTTCTCTCTCATCTGTTGAATTTATTTTTATTGTTCAGGCAAGAAAATGATTCATTAAAACAGCACTTAATGCAGAGCTGTAGCAAATAGTTATATAGGATGTGTGAATGTATATCCTGTACTTACTCGTTGTCTGTAGTAGTTGCCGTTAATGCGGGCCAAACTTTCATATATCTGGTCGCACTTCTCTGGATCTGAGATCTGGTGGGAAACATGTAGTGTTTGAGCAAATGTCAAATGAACAATGTGAACAGCAGCATTACCAGATATCATGACAAAAAGGAAAAGCTTCAGATATTTTACTGAGATTTTATAAGAGAATGAAACAGAGGAAATTATAATTAAGTCAAATGTGTTGTATATAGTGATAGGTTTTTTTTGTGTCAAATTAACCAACCAACCAACATTTTCACAACCACAGAACTTCTGTTTCCATATGCATCTCTGTTTTTCAGTCTGTTCAGTCTCCCTCTGCAAATGTTCCTCTTTCTACTCTGGTTCATAAAGGTATTCTCTTGTCTCCATGGTAAACAGCATTTCATTGTCGCTGTCATATTCACTCTTTTATTTTCCTGTATTTGTTGTCCCTTAGATAAACCGTTGAAACTCTGACCCTAACAGCTGATCTGCACATATTCTCAATATAGTGTACACTTAACCTGATATTGAGTTTTTTTAGGTGGCTAAAATATGTTTTGCTGCTGCCCCCCTCCACAGCAGAACATTGCTGAGCTTCCATGTCAGTACTCCTACCTGCTCCGAACTGGGGATGTGCCGACTGCCATCTACTGAAGGTAATACACTCCAATGGACAAGTGCCGAATTCAACCCCACTCAAAAAAGTCTGAACTAGCCCTTTAGTTTAGATCGTTTTATCTATTACAATATATTAAATTAAATGAAAATACATGATGGTTTTTGGATAAAAGCTGCAAATTTAATGTTATTACAGCTATATTTGAATAAATATGTTGGCCAGTAGGTAACATAAACTTGCAGTACACGAAAGTACCGTATTTTTGTTTGTTTTTTTGTATACAAAAAGATAAAAAATATTTGTAGTGTTGTATTTTTGTTTTATATAAAAATCCGTAGTAGTTTGTAGAATTGTATTTTAGTTGTATGCAAACTGTATTTATGTAGTGCTGTAGTTTAGTTGTATATAAAATATATGCATGTGGTTATGTATGTTTGATGTATTTGAGTTGTTGATGTGTTTATGTAAAATAGCAATATTAATTTAAAAAAAAAAAATCAGGAATCAGTTGTACTACAATAACAATCCTTAAAATAAAGTTAGTGAGGGTAAAAACTAAAATATTTCCAGTGACACATAATGAAGTACACAGTAGTGCAAAAACTATTTAAGTGCAAGTACTGCAAAACTTGTACTGACACACCCCTTATGCAACACTGTTGACATGATAACAGCCTTCCTACCGTATGTAATAAGCTACAAACTGATGAAAACTTTAGCACATTAGCATCGAGCTCTGAAATTGCATTTATTTATAATATTAATCACAAACAATCTTTATATGAATCAATTAAAGCGGCAGGGCAGACAAGGTCGACGGCTGCTGGCTCTGTTGTCACGGTTATCCTCTTAGCTTAGCTCGGTGTGTTCATTAGCCGTGTGTTGGCTCAGTTTAACGGCCGCACAGTTACCTGTGTGTTTTCACCCTCACGGAAGGCTGAGGCTACTCTCTGCCGCAGAAACGTCCCTAAATCCCGGGCTTTCTTGGCCTCGTCCCGTGGCCATTCCTCACACAGCTTCAGGAACCGACGGTACCTGGTGGCAGACATCTTTGGACATGTAATAAAAATCGAGTTGTGTTAAGGACGTGTGAAGTTTGAGCTTTATCGCACGCCGTAGTTGTGTTACACAGAAAGTCGTCCTCCTTCTTCCGGTCTGCTCCCCTCGTTGCTGCTTCAGTCGTTATACCGCACGTTAGCAAGATGAGTGGAGCAAACAGTAAAGCGAAACCCTCCACCGGTGTGATGGAGTGGGTCAGTTCAGCTTGTCGGTTCGCTACAGACAGAAACGACTTCAGAAGGTGAGTTAGTGTTAATAAAATAACGTGTTACCTGTTTAAACTGTGGTTGTTAGCCATGTAGCTAACGTTAGCAGACTGCGCCAGGGAGATTTGTCCTTGCCTCGACCAGTTTCTCTAACGACTAACGTGAACTGTAGTCAAAACACTTTGTCACCATCAAAATGTTTTAAATGTTTTAACTTAAATAGCTTCAATCCGTTTGAAAGAATGGCGAAGAGTTGTGGCCCTCAATACCTTCACTCGTGTTTAACACAGTGGGAGGCTTTGGGTTGCTATTAAAATGTGACTTTGACACAGCCAAACTGCCTGTTTAACTCTCTTCCATCCTCCAACAAGTCCTGTTACACTGAAAAATTATTTCTAAACATAATTTTAGTATTTACAGTGTCCCACTGTGGAGTAATAAAGTTATACTGAGTAAAATCTATTTTCATTGAACATTGGATGGAATTGGACGGAAGCGAATATGATCAGTTGTGCAATTGATGGATGGACATGGGAACATACTTGACCTGATTGAATTTAACAGGAAATATAAAGACTGTTTGATGGTAACACAACAGGCCGCTGTCCTAATTCATGAATATAGACTTATTCACCTTTAAAAATACCCAGTTTCTGAGTCATTTTGAAGGATAAAAACAGTATTGCCAGGAATACAAGATGTATTTTACAAAGAGCAACAGAAAAGTCATACCCCTCTCCCCCCTCTGTTTCTCTCTTTATCTTCATCATTACTGTCTAGTGAAATATAATGTTTTGTTCATGTACAAAATAACCATTATAAGAATTTGCCACAAAAATTCAGCACTTGCCAGGCTATGATTCTTATAACTTAATGTGTTTAATCAAATGACCACATAACAAACCTGGAAGCAGTGCACAGACAGTGGAAGCATGACAGGTCATTTTTACCCTACAGGTGGTTAATTTGGCTCCAGTTACTATGTAATATTTTTATTTTCAACAGACTTAGACGTAGTTTTTTTAGCTGCTTTGATTTTGTGAGAGTAAATCATCATTTGTGACCCAGTGCTTGTCTTATTGATTTTTCAGGAATCTTCTGGTGAACCTGGGCTTGTTTGCAGCTGGTGTTTGGGTCGCCAGAAACCTCTCCGATTTTGACCTGATGTCCCCTCAGCCCGTGACATAACCTGGTCAAAATACATCCATCGCCAAAACCAGGATGATGGTGAGATTATCTTCTTAATTAGAGCCAGAGGGAGGAGGTGGTGTTCAGTTTACACTGGGCAATGTCTATTTTTTTCCACACCTTCATACCTTTCTGACATTTCACTGAGGTATACGGTATATGACAGTATTTATGTTTAAAAAAAAAAAAAAGCCACTGATGATATGCGTTTGTAGCATGTCTGTCATCGTCTACAGTACTGTGTTTCTAATATGAAATTAGCACTTAAGAAAAGTCTTGCAGGATGTAAATCAGGCCCCAGGGAAGTGTGCTGGGCTTTGAAGCCAATTTTCATAGTGGCCAAACAGTGGTACTGCAGCAGGATTCATCATGTGACGCTATTGGGCACCAAAATACACTTTTTTTTGAGCACCACATCCCCCGCAGAATGACTCGCTCTGCTACTAAGATTTAATCCATTCGGTCCGATAACATTTTACAAAGTCTAAAAGAGCAGTAAGATTAAATTATTATTCAAGTTAGCGCAGCGCTAAACCGGAAGTTAGTCTCTAGTGACCTCTGGTGGTGTTTGCTGTGCACTACAACACATCGCCTCAATACAGCATCTCTATATCAGTTTAATAGAAAGAGGACCATCTGTATATTTTTAACAGCTTTGAGAATCAAACCTTTTAGATTTCTAAATACTCTGGAACACCGTGATACTTTAATACAGCCCAAGTCTAGGTTACATTATTATTGGCAAAGCTAATGTGTTTAAGCAGCAACTATATTTCTCTTCTCGCTGCTACAAGTTAAAACTGAAGAGTAGTTCATATGCAGCCTGTTTGTTTTCTATGTGTATTTATTCGCTTGTCATTGACAGTATCTTTTTGTTCCTTTAGGTGTTTTGGACCAACAAAGAAGAAACACCGGACATGAATAAAGACCATGAAACTTTTATATGACTACTTTAAAAGCAAATCATTGTATTGACCTGAATGACCTTCAGTTTTCTGTAGAATATTTTTTGTCATGTCAGATTATCTAAAGAGAAACCAGAAAGTGTTTGTTTGCTCTTGTTGTTTTTGACCCATAGATTTTAAAATAGCTTTAATTCGATAATTTGAGTCATGTGTGATGTGATATCTGCAGACATGTCTGCTCAGGAGCTCTTTGTTGCTGCAGCTCGTAAATGTCTGTCTGTAGGTAGAAAGTCTCCGTCGGTCCCTCAGAGTCTGGACCTGGCTGCTCAGGTCTCGGCTGTTGATTTGGGGTTAAAACCGGCTCTATTGTACGACAGCAACGGCGCCAATGCAGATCAGGTGCAGCAGTATTTGAGCTCTCTGCAGTCCTCCCAGCTCGTGTCTAGGTCACTTCTCACACTGGATTTAAATGGAAACACGCTCATTGTTAATCCCCTCACAGTCAGATCAAACGTAGAACAGCTGTTTCGTGACGACAGCGTGGCTGTGATCGATGTGCGCCACTCACTAGAGAAGCCCACCATCGCTGATCCACTCAGAGGAGAGCTGAAGAGCATGACACAGGATTTACTGCTCCTCCTGAGAGGATTTGAACAACTGAAGGAGGCTGAGAGACCTCATCATGTCGGAGAGGAGTCAGAGCAGTGGAACCTGTGCACAGTGTTTGGTCTGTTACTGGGTTACCCTGTCACTTACTGGTTCGATCAGACCAAGAGCTTTGAGAACTGTCTGTCTATGACTCCACTGATGGTGACTACAGCTTCAGCAACGTGGCAGGCAGACACTGCAGGTCACACATATTGTCTGTACTCCTTCAGCGTCCCGGCTGTTCTGCTCAAAGCAGTGCAGTCCAACCTGGAAAACTGGAGGCTTCATTTACAGGAAAGATTTCAGCAGCAAAATGTCCTCAAGGATCTGACAGTTCGTCAGACCACTGTCACTCTGCCCTCAGTCTGTTTGTGATGCTAGCATGATGTTTGTATTTAAAATAAGCTGTTAAAGTATACGTGGGTTTTACTTTATAACTCCAATAAACTGTCTCAAAACAGCTGTTTTTATTTTTATTGGTGCAAAGAGCAGTACACACAAAACTAAGGTCGTGACATACAGTATACTCAATGGGGTGGATGAAAACGGTAATATAGACAGACAAGACGTTATGTTGGTTTTAGGGCTTCTTTTTCCACCTCTCAGGTTTTCTCAACCCAGGAAAGTGGTGGGTCCTTTTCCAGACCTATGGGTTCTTCTTTGTCTTTGTCTCTGTCTCGGAGAGGTAAATCTTCAGAGACTTAGGCCGTCTCCAGGGGTTCCAGTGTCCACTAGGGAGAGACTCCATTTTACATGAGTCATCCTCAGTTGTCTGAGTTGTCTGGTCCTCTCAAGGTGTTGAGTGCATGAAGTAGAGACCCCTGTTGGTAAACTTCATCCTGAGGCCTCTTCTCACCTCGGGCCCTTTTCCTAGGGGGCCGAGGATTGGTTTTACGCTCAGCCCTTGAGCTCTGTTGACAGCTGATTGTTTAGTGCGATCTGAATGTTCAGCTGTGTTATTCGCTCCTCCCTCTCTGTCTGGAAAGACTGCTGATTTGTCAAGGCCTGTTGCTTTAGGATGTTATTCTCCTCCGCCATTTTTTCACAGAGGGCATCCTGCTCTGCCTTCAGATTTCATGCTTAAGAAGAAAAAGACTTGTTAAAGTTTGGTTAAATGGTGCAAGGCTTTAAAATTCTTTATTTAAATAAAGTAAAACAGGAAAGAACACATTTTTGTCATGACATTTAAAATACAAACATTTGCATCAGTTTAAGGTGAAATATGATCGATTGCCTGACAGGTTGCTGAAAACAGTTTGTAGTCTCAAGCCTCGTACTTTTATTGTTAGACACATTGAGTAAAGGTCCATGTATTGACTGTTAGCATTTTAAGTGAGCACCTATCTGTGTCAGCAGCATTATATAAGAACATGAGACTAATCCATATCAGGATAACACAAATCACACCCTATAAAAACCAGCTTATTGCCTGATAGCTTGCTTCATGATTTGTACCTTTGTGCACTAACAGCTTGCACCAACATCTACAGTACAGTGTCACTCGTAGCTCAGTTTATTTAAATAAAAGCAGTTTAAGTACTCAACAGTACAACAGAGCCCGAGGAGATGAACCATGTGTCTCCCTCCTCCACCTCTCATTTCACAGCCTCCAGCTTCCAACTCCGGGCCCTCAGACACTGAACCACACATGCTGTATCATCGACTTCGGTGATGCCAAAACCAACAGCGGCGACGCCAAATACAGTACAGCTTGAGTCTTTCTGTTTCTCCAGGCAGAGTCCATGTGTCTCTGTTTGTTGGACCAAGATACTGATCCCGTGATACCAATCTGTTGCGTGCAGAGAAGTTGAAACTGACTGGCACACTTTTTAAAAACATTATTCTGCATAAAGTACATGAGAGAAGATATGTCAGTGTTTGGCCTACTTTGATAATAGCAGCGAATTCTCTTGGATTCTTTTAGGCTACTGTAAAAATAGCTGACAGTTCAGTTCATTATGTTGTTCACCTGTTTGAGTCTGAGGTAGTTTTCATAGCTTGAAGGAATACTTCGCCTCCCAAATGATGATTTGTTTATCAATTGCTCACACTGTGTTATCTTGAATTCTTGAAGAAAATTTTTTTTT